GCTCGCTTCGCCCAGCTGTGCCGGGTGCCCCGGCCGGCGTGGGCTCCGCTCCCGAGCCCGCCTGCCCCTCGCGCGCGCCCCTCACCTGCACCACGCGCCAGCCCTGGGCGTCCTTCCGGGCGTCGGGAGGCACGAGGCTTCGGGGCACCCGCGACGGGTGCAAGAAGTGGACCATGTCGACCCCCGATGAGGCGGAGAGCTAGGAGCGAAGAGCCAGCGTGGAGCGGGGGGTGGAACCGGCCAGAGCTGCGGAGATCCACGACGGCCGGGGTGCGAACGGACCGCTCAACAGCAGGTCTTTTGAAACGCCCGGCGAGACTGCGCGCAGGCGCTCTGGGCCGGCAGCCGTAGGCCCCGCCCCCACGGGCCCACTCAGGCCCCACCTGAACCCCGCCTCCCGGAGTTAACCTTTCGCTCCTCCAGCTGCTCCCCAACTCCTGCTCACCCCTGGAAGCCAGCTGCGCTCGAACCCACACTGCATGGAATCCAGAGAGTATATTCCTGTTGCCCCGCAGGAACATTTCCAAGGACTATGGCTTTGCAGAATTGAATATATATTTTAAATACTTCTTTAAATTTTTTTTTTTTAATTTTGAGACAAAGATTTGCTAAATTGCTCGAGCTAGTCTCAAACTTGTGATCTTTTTGTTTTGCGGGTTTGTTTTTTATTTTTTGAGACAAGGTCTGGCTGTGTAGTGCTGGCTGCCCTTGAACTCACTATGTACCCCAGACTGACCTCAAATTTGAGGCGATCCTCCTTCATCAGCCTCCTGAGTGCTGAGATTACACGGGTGGACTACCCACGCCCAGCTTCACTCATCTCTTTCAAAAACATCTTAAGTTCCCACTAACGCATGTAGTCTTCACCTGTGGTCCCTCTCTGTCTTTCCCTCTTTATTCTAAACCATTTATGCTCTCGTCTGGTCTAAGGCTGATCCCTACGTTTGTGCCCTAAATTCCGTCCCCTCTCTGTTTGCAAAAGGCAACATCCACCAAGGGCCTTTCTTCTGCATTATCAATTTTCCCCTTTCTCAGCTCATTCCCACCAGCATATAAACCTGCTGACACTTTTCCCTAATTAAAAATATTTTCATTGTATTATTTATTTGTGGTACTCTCAATGGAACCCAAGGGTGTTCTACCATTGAGGTACATCCGTATGTTTTGGTTTGTTTTCTCTTTTGAGATAGGGTCTCTGCTAAATTGCTCGGTTAGGACTTGAACTCGGGACCCTCCTGGCACAGCCTTCAGAGTGCTGGGATTCCTATTTGTTTCTTTACTAAAATATATATATATATATATATATATATATTTTTTTTTTTTTAGGACTTAAACATTTTTTCTGAGAGATAAAAAATAACTTTTTAGGGCTAGGGATTTACCTCAGGGGTTCCACTGCCTGCCAAGCAAGTGCAAGGACCCAAATTTTATCCCCGGTACCAAAGGGAAAAAAAATACCTTTTAGCTTTCTTTTCTCACATTTGCAGTGAAACTTCTACAAAATGTGACTTGTACTCGCTATCTCCTCTTCTGCTACTGGTTTGTTCACCTGTGTCATTTGGCTAAACCGTTCTCAACTTCCAAGTTGTTAAATCCAATGGTCACTTATCATTCATTTTATTTGGCTGTTCAGGAGCATTTGACCAAGGTCATCATTTGTTTTTCCCTGAAATATTCCTCGGCTTCCAGGACACATCTGCCTCTTCCCTCTGCCACCCTACCCCTACCCCCACCCCCGCCCCAAACTCCACCCTTCCCCCACCCACACCCACTCCCGAACTCCACCCCCCACCCCCACCCGCCCACACCCCCATCCCCAAACGTCTTTTAAAAATTCCTGCACTGGGAATTGAACCCAGGACCTCACATGTGGTAGGCAACGGTTCTACCACTGAGCTACACCGTCAGCCCATTTTATTTCTTCATCCTGAAAGCAGGATCTCACCAAATTGTCCCGCTGACCCTGAATTTGAGGACTTCCTGCCTCAGACCCCTAAGGAGCTGCGATTACAGTGTGTCCCCCTCTCGTCCTCTTGATTCCTCATTACCCAGACTTCAAACATTTGTACACCCCAGGACCTGGTGCTTGAATACTTGTCTATCCAGCCTATCTTTTTCTAAAGATAGGGTCCCCCCGCCAAAAGATAGAGTCTCCCTAAATCACGCAGGCTGGCCTCGAACTTGCTATCCTCCCAGAATGCTGGGATTATAGTGTGCCATCATGCACAGCTAGTGTTTAGCTTCTTTACAAAGTCTTTGCAAAGCTTAGCTGACTAAATACAAAGAAAAATCTTGCCTTGATGTATTTTGGGGCAACATTGGAATTTGAAGTCATCACTGGAATTTATTGAGTAGCTAATAGCATTTGAAATTATAGACCTCTTACAATAGTACTTGGGACTGTTGTACCCAGTGAGAAAGAACCAACCAGAGACCAATATTAAAGTCACACAGGAGTTTATTACCAGCCCGGACCCGAGCTGAGCATTGGAGTCGAGCCCCGACTGGGGAAAGACAAACATGTTTTATACACCTTTGAGGCCAACAGTTTCTAGGCCCCCCTATGGGATAGAACTAGTAAAGCAAGCAAAAGTTACAGAAGTGGAATGTCCTGCTGTTAGAACATTTGTAAAAGAATAGTTTATTAATTGTTATTGCTAAAGAGACTTTCTAAGGGGAGGAGGTTTTTAAGCTTCCTACTGAGTTCATCTAAAGGGCAGGCAGGTGGGTCAAGCAGCAATATGGAGTCTGTCTTGCTAACTAGGGTCTTTCAGGGACAAGATAAGAATTGATTACAAATCCTATAGTTGATCTGTTCCCATGGATCAATTTATTAATTCATTTACTTATTTGCGGTACTAGGGATTGAACCCAGAGCTTTCCCACTGAGCTATATCCCCAGCTTTTTTTTTTTCCTTTTTAAAACAGGATCAGGCCAGGGATTTAGCTCAGTGGTTTCTCGGCCTGCTGCGCAAGTGCAAGGACTGGAGTTTGATCCCCGGTACCAAAAAACAAAACAAAACAAAGCAAAACAAACCAGGATCTTGCTAAATCGCTACATTGCCTAGGCTGGCTGTGAACTTTCAATCCTGCTTCAGCCTCCCAGAGTGCTGGGATTAAAAATGATTAAAATGAACAGCAAATAATAGTTTCCACCATTTTCTTTGTCTTCACAGATGGAGAAGTTATGGGATAGCCCAGTGCATTAGACTTTTATGATGCATATTGAAGATTGGAATAGGAGATAAAAAGAGTAAAGGAGAAGAAAGGAAGTCCTCTGAAACACTAAGTCGATCAACATAACAAAAACTACAAGCAGAAAGGGGACAATGAAGAAAGACTGAATTTTTGGGGGGAGGGGGTGCTGGGCTTTGAATTTTAGGGCCTTGAGCAGGCTAGGGCATCCCTCTCAGCCCTTCTATTTTTTTTAAGTGACGTTCTACATAACACAGCTCAACAAATTGGTGAAGTGTTAGCCAAAGAAACTCATCTTCCTCCCCGTTTATGGTCCATAATAACATTACATTAAGTGCTTTACTATACAGGTAATATAAAATTAAGAAAAATAATTATAAAAATTATAATAAAAATTACATTTAGAAACCTTACAGCCACCCTAACAGATGTAATACAGTATTTTTATTAGTGAAGCAGTAGTGTTTGTAGTGACTTTGTTTTTGGTTTTTGAGACAGGTCTCCTATTCAGTCAAGGCCAATATTAAAGTCATTCTGTGGCTTTGAACTCCCAAAGCTCCTGTCTCAGCCTCTCAAGTGCTGGGAGCACCAAGTGCTGGGGTTACCAAGTGCTGGGGTTACAGGCCTGCACCACCATGCCCAGCATTTATTAACAGGTCTCTAGCATCTACACAGTAATGCTGCTGTACATTCTTTCTGGCAGCACTCGTTTGTTAATCATACACTGCCGGAGATCTAAAAAATCTTGAGCTATCATGCTTGAAAGTGGTGGGTTGGGGCCTGTTGTATTGGAAACACAGAGCTAAGAATTGTAGTGCAGTCTGTCACTGAATTGCTGTGTGACGTGAGCACTCATCTTACCCAAGCCCTATTTTCTTTAACTGTAAAATGAAAGTTCTGGAACTAAAATCACAATCCCTGTATGGGATTTATATTTAGGGATTTAGGCAATCCCTAAATGCGTTTAAATAACATACATTACACCAATTAATTATCTATTTGTGTGAATGAGTGTCAACCCAGATATTATTTGCTCGAAGAACTCTTCCTGAACTGCCTCCTAGGTGTGCAGCCTGGGTTAGGTATTGTTAGGATAAACCGAGGCATGACGGAGACCACCAGAGTATGCAACACTGAAGCAACAAGTGAGGTTTTATTTTCAGCCTGGGGGCAGGGCAGTCAAGGGCGACACAGCGGTTGACCCTGGGGGCTAGGGTGAGGGGAAACTTTGTAGGGCAGTTTGGGTAGGGGAGGGGTAGTGGCAGGAGGAAATTTTTGTCTTGGAGTGGAGGAAGTCTTTTGTTCTGGTGGAGAGGAAGTCTGGTGGTCTCCAGGGGTATCTGGACCCACAGGGGTTGCTGCGTGGGGCGGGCTGTTTATGTTAAACCCAGGCCTTGGCTTCCTGTTATCCTTTGTGCCCACATTGCCTGGGAAGTTTTTCTCTTCTGCCTGGGTGGGGGTCTGACAGGTATGGGCTCTGGGCCTCTGTAACAAGCACAGTGGACTGGTCTGCAACACAGTTAACTAATATTTATCTGTTTATTGAACACTGATTCTTTTCCAATTTACAAATTCCTTGAAGGATTTGTAAATTAAGTAAATTCCACCACTTCCATAGTACCTAGCACAGGTACTTCATGAAATGAATGAATGCTGTTCCAGTACTAGAAACTTGTAAAGTAAAACAATGGCCTTTTTCAGAAAGCATATTGTTGCAAGGTGATCACTAAGGAATCTGAAGCTTACACTGATATTAAGCTTTAAACCAAATGTCTAGAATAAAAGTAAACAAGACACACTTTACATAAAATTTATACCATTTATTTAGGCAAAACCCAAAAAATTCCAAAACAAAATTCTGTACACACAACATTAATACTTAAGTGACGTCCTGATTTAAAATATAGCATGATTCAGGTACAGAATACTCCCATTATCTGGCCGGTGTGAGAACAGTGCCTTCCGTCCAGGTAACTGAGAGTCTTTAAAATGAACGTACATTACACTTTCCAATGAATTTTTCATATTCTTTGAAAGGTGTTCAACTCTTCCATCACAATTCAAGCAAAAAGATAGCTTTTCTCACACTCACCACTCAGAATTTACAGAGAGAAACCTACAAACATCAGGGATTTAAAATTTTTTTATACTTGCAGATATCTGAGTACAAATCTTGATACACATCCTCTCATTTTTGGAGGAAAAAAATGCTCTCAAAGATTTGCTTTTATAAAAGTGTCTTCAGCTTTTACTAGCTAAATTTACTTTAAAGCTGATTAAAATAAGATTAAGAGGACCAATTTAAAGTTTGCCCCAAAGTAAGCCCCGTATTAAGCACCTACTATTGGTAAACTAGATTTATGATTTCTAGTAAATAATTTTGATAAATTTGGATTTTATTTTTGGGGGGATTGAACTCAGGGATCGAACTCAGGTCTTTGTGCTTGTGCAGCAGGTGGTGAAACCACTGAGCTAAATCCCTGGCCCTGAATTTGGATTTTTAAAATACTTTTTGTGGCTTGTTTTTTTGAGACAGAATCTTATGTTGCCCAGGCTGGTCTCAAACTCTTGAGCTCATGTACACCTCCTGCCTCAGCCTCCCAGAGTAGCTGGGACTGCAGTCTACAGGGAAGTAGTAGCAGCCCAGCTCTGAAATATTCCAGGGGTGGGGTGGGGGTGTTTACTGGAGATTGAACCTAGGGAGTACTGAGCTACATCCCCTACCATTTTTATTTTTGAGACAGGGTCTAAGTTGCACATAGGCTGTAATCATCGTGCCTCAGACATAGGGTGAAATTTTTTTAGAGAAGGGTTCTTGCTCTGCAGTTCAGGGTAGCCTTGAACTTACTATGTAGCCCAGGCTGGCCTCCAGCTCAAGGGGATCCTCCTGCCTCAACTTCCCAAATGCTGGGATTACAGGAGGGCACCCCCACACCTGGCTCGGAGGAAATTATTTTTAATGGTCATAAAGTTAGGCTGTTCTGTTTAAAAGACGCTTTACCTCATTCAAAGTAATGAAAAACACCATTTATAGTTGCATAATTCATGTAAAAAAAAAAGTGTGTATATGTGGGGGAAACAGGGTAAAAAGCTCTTCTGCTACCAATTAACATAGTGTCTTATGTTAGGATTTGGAAACCAAAGAATGCATTATTAGGAGTGTACTGTATCATACAAAGTCTATGAAATACTAAAGAGAAAACAATCACTCATTTAAAGCCCAATCAGCAAATTTTCCAATCATACTGCTATTCTCATCACTGGACAAAGGTTAATTTGGCATTATTCCTAAAGTAAACAGTTTGTTAAATTAACACTGAAAATTTAAAATGTGTCAACAAATATACACAAACATAATATACACAAATGCATCTGAAACTGCTGCAGTGGATTTCAGAGGGAAATCCAAAGTTTATAAACCTCTCTGAAAGCTCAGAGCAGTGTTCTGCAGCTCTTGGGGTACAAAGTCCCCAAATAAATAAAATACAGATAAGTTTGGAAAAGTCCACATCAGTTGACAGTGTGACACTGCTTTTAACATGCGCCTTCAGTTTAATAATACTGTATATACTATGGTTAAAGCTATACAATAACCAATAATTTAAACATACTATTAGAGGGCAGGAGAGAGGTACATCTCATCATACAAGAAACAGTACCTTTTTGCTACCTCTGTTCAACCTTCATACTGCTATACATTTTTCCATATGGGGCTAATGCATTTTACTTAATTCATTTTCTTTTGGGGGGATAATGCATTTTAGAACACTAAATCAAATTTATAGTTCATTCATCTAATTTACCCTAATTTGGCACACAAAGTATTTTCATTAAAATGTGCTCAAAGGTGATAGAAAATGACCTAATGTTATCTTGACACATGGCACAATTAAAAGTACAGCCAAATTAAAGTGGCTAGGGAGAAAAAGAGGCCAGCATAAAAAGATATGTAAGAGCAACTTCCTAAACTGGGTATGTATGGTATTAAACATAAATATTTAATTTTTTAGAAGTTTGCAAATAAAAGACACCATGAAGGCAAATTCCTATAGCAGTCTTTCACTCATCACACTCATCCTGAAGTTTATTAGTGCTACTAAACTGCTTTCCTGTCCTGAAGTACGCAGAAATATTTATGATGAACTGTGGGTCTGATAAAGTTTTCAAAAATCTTCAACCAAGAAGAGCTGGGTATAGTGGTGCCTCAGGCACTACAGGAGACTGAGGCATGATGATCATCCCTGGGCAACTTAGTGACATGGCGAGACCCTGTCTCAAAATAAAAATAAATTTTGACAGAGGGTTAAGGGTACAGCTCTGTGCAAAGGCTCTGGGTTTAATTCCAGTACCTGAGGGAGTAAAAAAAGTCTGCAACTAAGAAAGATGGGTATAGTGGCAAACTAATATAATCTCAGCACTCAGGGAGGCTGAGGCGGGAGGATCATGAATTCAAGGTTAGTTTGTGCTACATAGCAAGTTTTAAGGCCAATCTGGAACATAGCAAGATCCTGTTCCACAAAAACAGAAAACCTCAACTAAAACCTTGGCTAAATGGTCAACTAACCCCAATTACTACTTGATTTATGTTTCTTTTTTAACTGAAAAAAGAAAAAGAAGCCGGGCATGGTGACCCATGCCTTTAATCCCACCACTCAGGAGGCTGAGGCAGGAGGATCACTGCGAGTTCAAGGCCACCAGCCTGAGCTACATACATAATGAACTCAAGGCCAATCTGAACTACACAGTGAGACCCTGTCTCAAAAAAAACAAACAAAACTTACTTGCTGCAAATAATAAATTGCCTTAATTATGTTTGCTCTACTTTGTTTTACTCAATAACAACACACAGCCTTACAATCTAAAACATGTCTTTCTTTTCTTTTCTTTCATGTGTGTGGGGAGCTAGTGTGTAGTGCTAGGGACCAAGCCTAGGACTTTGTGCATCCATTTCCCTTAATACATCCATAACTTGCTATTGCTTATGGACTGATCTATTGATTTTTTTTTTTAAATGGTATCCAAATATCTGAGAACACCAATGATTTGAGCAATGAGTGGCATAACCTTAGTCTGAACTGTTCTTGGCACCTCTAAGTCACTGAAAGGTAACCTTTGAAGGCACCAAGTATGTTACATTCTAGTCTACAATTTCAAGAGGGTTACAGATTCTAACTGTAGAGACTGTCCAATTATACCTCATAATTTGAATATATTCATCCATTATATTTTTAGCCAAATTCAAGACTTTACAGACAAATCTGTGCCTTAATTATATATACAATTTTAAGAAGCATCCCAACCACAAAGGCACTAAAACCTACATATTTCGGATATGGTCAATTATTTTGCTTTTTAAGACTCAGAAGTATCTGGCTGCTACTGATGCTCAAAGTAGTAAATTTAAATTTAAACATTTTGAGTCTTCATCTATCAAGAAGTTACTCCAAATAAAGGTGTCAGCTGTTTTCTGTACATTTTTAGCCATTTCTAAGAACTTTTAAAAGACAAGAATCTAGCAGTAGTGTATAAAGATACATTTTTGCTTTGAATGGTATAAAATAAAAACTTCTCAGACTTTCCCTTAACTGTACTAGAAAGACCTGAAAATGGTCAGCCTCACTAGCAACTTTCAAGCTATCTCAGACCATCCTATTTTCTGAATTTTGCCTTAGACATTAAAATTAAGAAAAAAGGCAAAAAAACATTTTTTTTAAACTTTAAAAAGAATTTTGCACTTCCTCTGAAATAAGCATAATCTGTGAAAATGTATATTATAAAAAGTTCCTTAAGCCAACTGAATCAGAATTAAGCCATGTTTTTTTGGTACTGGAGATCGAACTCAGAACCTTGCGCTTTTGAGGCAGGCACCAGACCCACTGAGCTAAATCCCCGGCCCTATTAAGCCATAATTTAACACATCTTTTAATGATTTTACATATCTGCTTTCTTTTAGTTTAACTCAGTTTTTGTCCCTATAAAGGAATACCACAAAATTCAAGTCCATTTATTGTGATAGTGTCAAAAATGCTGTCAGTGCACTAGTACACCAGCTCCTTTCTGAAGGCGCTTCTGACTATCATTTTAACATCCTATTTAAAATCTCTAATGAAGGGGCCAGAGATTTAGCTCAGTGGTTTCACCGCCTGCCTTGCAAGTGCAAGGACCCGAGTTTGATCTCCAGTACTCCCCCCCGAAAAAACTCTAATGAAAATAATTTGGCTATGAAAAATGCAATCATCTGAGATTGCAGATTAACCTTATTAATAAAATAAATTTTAAATGAAAATTAAGTTTCTTGGAGATTTGTTGCCTCTCAAGTGCAATTATTGATATAATGATATTTTATTGTTTAATATACTTTATCAAGTATCTTAAAGGAAAGGCAATTGTTCAAAAAATAATTCATCAAAAATATTTCCTCTTATCCACTGTAATTAAAATCATTACATTTAGTCATTCAACAATGGTCTTATTCTTCTCTTGCATTTTTGGCAGTAAAATGTGGGCATCTTTTTATAACATGAACAAATTAAGAAGATATACGTATTTGGAAAAAATTCAGCTTTTTCTTTCTTTTTTTTTTTTTGGTGCTGAGTATTGAACTCAGGGCTGTACATGCTAAGCATGCACTCAACTTCTGAGCTACACCCCAACCCAAATTTAACTTTTTGTGGCAAAGTTTACTGCTGTCAACTGTGTTTTAACTGAGCAGGTTAATACCATGAGTAGTCTCTATCCCACTGAACAAAAATGGCTTTAAAATAGCAGGAAAAGAACAGCTACTTTTAACCAGAGACAAGTTTTTAAAAATTTACATTTTTAGAACAATATGACATACAGAGAATCAATTAGGCTTTAACCCAGAGTGCTGTAATAGTTTATGGTGTGATGCCTGGGAAATATTTCTAGAGAGCAACCCGCAGTCTATATAGGAAGTACCAGTCCACGTTTCCAGCCATAAATACAGGAACAAGGTTCTGCTCACTGTCTCCAAAGAGGTGGGCTCCAGAAGGGCATCCTGTCCCATTTTAGAAACTACACCATGAAAGCAATTCTCATTTCCTAAACTCTATTCTTCCTCATTGTTTTTCTTCCCAATACATTTTTCTGCCAGCCACCCGGGTTCCACAGAGTGTGTAACTTCCATGGGGAGACAATGCAGGTTTCCATTCTTTCACACTAAGAAGGGTGTCTTCTAAGAGATACACAGAGGATAAAGGCATTTTATACAGAAGCAGTAGAAACTTTACAACTGAAGCAGTGCCAGAAATCCGAGGCCACAAAATGATTGGAAGGGACTTTGAGATCAGAAAAGTCTGGCCTAAGGGTTCGTGCAAACTTTATCAGAAAACTGTAGAATCTCAAGCACAGGTAAATTCAAACACTGAAAGATGTGGAAAATTTTCTGAAAGGGAATGATAAAGAGACCTTTCTTGCCTCATAAGTTAAAAATCACAAGACATATTAGACTGTTCACATGGGCAGTACTGTACATTATTAATCCCAAACTGATCTTATGACTCTTGTCATAGAATCCAAAACACCACAGAGGGTAAGATATTCCAAGTGGACCAATCACAAAAAGGATCCTAGTGACTCAATTATCCAATTACCTATAGCTATCAATTTAGTCTAGCCTGGGCCTGCTTCTTACAGGGAGGTGGCCTCCCATGGCGCACAATATGTTTTTCTAAGCTGTCCAGAATGGCCACAGCAATCTGTTGGACATGGGGATCGGTCTGTTCATGTTCTTTGATGTTATATAAATGTTGCAGTCCTCCTTCTTCAATCAGCATGCTGCAATACCTTGAAGCTGAAAGAAAACAAGAGAAACAATCTGATAAAAACCATTTATTACAAAACAATGGCCAACATCATATTAAATGGAGAGAAGCTGAAAGCTTTCTCTCTAAAGTCAAGAACGAGACAGGAATATCTGCTATCACCACTCCTATTTAATACAGTTCTTGAAACATCAGCCAGAACAATCCAGCAAAAAGAAATAAAAAGGGATATATATATATATGGATATATATATCCATATATATATCCATATATATATATGGATATATATGAAAGAAATAAGTCAAATCATCATTATTCAAAGATGACATAATCCTCTACATATATGACTCAAAAATTCCATTAAAAGATTCCTAGAATTAATAACCAAATTCAGTAACATATCAAGATACATAATCAATACATAAAAATTAATAGCATTCCTATACACCAAAAATAAACTCACTGAGAAAGAAATTAGGGAAATAATACTTTTCCCAATAGCTTCAAGAAAAATTAAATACTTAGGAATTAACCTAACCAAGAAAGGAAAGACCTCTACAGTGAAAGCTACAGCACTCTGAAAAGGAAGATCAAAGAGGACATTAGAAAACGGAAAGATATCCCGTTTCTGCATAGGCAGAACCAATATAGTCAAAATGGTCATACTTCCAAAACTGATACACAAATTTAATGCAATCCCAATCAAAATACCAACAGCACTCCTCACAAGAACTAGAGGAAGCAATCTTAAAATTCATATGGAACCAGAAGAGACTATAGCAAAAGCAATTCTGGGTAACAAAGGCAAGGCAAGAGGCATCATAAACATGGACTTTAAGCTACACTGCAAGGCTACAGTGATAAAGACTACATGGTATTGGGGGGAAAAAAGACGTGGATCAATGTAACAGAATAGAGGATGCAGAACAACTCCAGGCACACTCAGCTAGATGGTCTTTGACAAGGGACCCAAACATTTCTGGAAGAAGAAAGACAGCCTCTTTAACAACTGGTTCTGGGAAAACTAGCTATCTACATGCAGAAGATTGAATCTGGACCTGTATCTCTCATCATGTACTAAACTAAAATGCAAATGGATCAAAGATCTAAATGTGAAAACAGAAAACAGATTTTCCTTTATCTGCTGGAAAATAAAACAGGAAAAACTATTGAAGTCAGAGGCACAGGCAAGCACTTTTTTTTTTTTAACAGAACTCCACTGCATAAGAAATAGTACCAAGAATCAACAAATGGATCACATCAAATTTAAAAGCTTCTGAAAAAAAATTTTAAAGCTTCTGTGCAACAAAGGACGACAGAGTGAAGAGCCAACCTACAGAATGTAGAATATATAAACAACTCAAAAATATTAGACCTGCCCAAAGCAAAAGATCCAATCAAAAAAATAGGCAACTGAAATGACTACACATTTCTCAGAAGTAATGCTCAATAAATACATATAAAAATGTTCAACATTTCTGGCCATTAGAGAAACATAAATTAAAACAACAGTGAGATTCCATCTAACTCTAGAAAGAAAGGCTACATCAAGAAATCAAATAATAACAAATGCTGATGAGGCTGCAGGTAAAAAGGAACCCTTCTAAATTGTTGGTAGGAATGTAAACTAATACAACCACTATAGAGATCAGTATGAAGATTCCTCAAAAAACTAAAACTAGAAATTCCATTTGACCTAGCTGTTCCCCTTATACGTATCTTCCCCAAAGAGTTGAAGACATCATCTCACAGTGATACATGCACACCTATGTTTAAAGCAGCATAATTTATAATAGCTAAATCTTAGAAGTGACCTGTACACTCATGAACAGATGGATGGCTAAAAAAATGGTATTTATACACAATGGAGTACTACTCCGGTATAAAAGAGGATAAACTTCAGTCTTTTGTAGGAAAATGGATGTACTTTGAGACCATAATATTAAGTGAAATAGACACAAGTTTAAATATTGTATGGTTTCTCTCTCTCTCTCTCTCTCTCTCTCTCTCTCTGTTTTTTCAGGGGTTTTTTTGGTTTTTTTTGAGACAGCGTCTCACTATGTAGTTCAGGCTGGTCTTGAACTCTTAGCAATACTCCTGGCTCAGCCTACTTAGTGCTGGGATTACAAGCACGTGTCACCATATGGGAGACTGCCCTGTTGATTATGCCCAAAGCAGGCTCCAAGTAGTGCCGGCTACAAAGAGTTAACCCCACAATTGGCTTGCTTTAAGAAGTGAGTCTGACCAAAGCCCACATGACTCATAAGAGCACTGGAGATGCCATGCAGGTTAGCACAATTTCTCTGCCAATAGCCACAGCAGAGAGCAGAGAAACGGCAGATGAAGCTGTGGAGCTTAAGATGACATAACATGGCCAAGGTTAGGGTGACTCACACCCAAAATCCATTCCCAAAATTAAAATCTTCTTGACTAAAAAGACAAGGTTAATTGTTAACCACAACCTATATCTGGTCTGTTCTGTTCCTAACACATGAATGCTTTTGTATCTTCTCTTACAAGCCTTGCCTGGATCAGCAATGTATCCCTAGCAATCACATGTAGCCCCTCACTCCAACTTAACGAATAATTGTGTCACCAATAAATATCAGCGGTTCTGGCTATTCAGGGTCTTTGCTGCTTGCTTAGCCTTGACTATCCCAGTTCCCTGTCTCTCTCTTTAATTCTGTCTCTGAGTCCTTCTTCTCACCAGGCATTGCGCACTGAACAGGAGACTGGGATCCTCTGCAGGGGTCTTCAATACCACTGCACCCAGCTTGCATGTATAAACAAGGAGCAAAATAAAAGACAGATAATAAAAAAAAGTTCCCTAGAGGAATTCTTGGTTTATTAACCATAACCCTGTGATTTTATTTTTTCATTTGGTGATATTTGAAGTATTTCACAATTTGACAACTTTTAAAAGTGTACATGCTTTAAAGCCAGGTATGGTGGCATAGACCTGTAATTCTAGCCTTCAGGAGGCTGAGGCAGGAGGATCGCTGTGAGTTTGAGGCCAACATGAGTCACATAGTGAGTTCAAGGCCAGCCTGCACTACATAGTAAGTTCAAGCCTAGCCTGAACTAATAGCAAGACCCTGTCTCAAAAAACAAAAGAAAAAACCAAAACAAAAAAGTGTACATGCCTTAGATTTCACTAACCAGGGTTCTTTCTCTGCTTATGATAATATCACTTTGTACTTTTGTCAAGTAAATAAATGTTTGGATGTGAAAGAAAAAACAAAAAGAAAGTGTTTGTGTGACCTTCACAATGAGCCCCCCTCCCACTTTGAGACAAGGTCTTGCTAAAATGCCCAATTTGGGCTCATATTTATAATCCTCCTGCCTCAGCCGTCCAGAGTACTGGTAATGATAGGCATGTACCACCATGCCTGGTCTACCTGTTGTCTTTTTAAAAAATTTCTTAGTTATTAACTAGCAGTATATTTATTTTTGATCATTTCAAGATTTGTTCAAATTTTTTAGGATTTTTCTAAAGTAGCTAATATTATAGGGCTAGCTTAATTTTTTCTGGTGTTTCTACTGCCTCAGGCATTAAGCTCTTTTTATCCAATACTGGAAACTGAATCCAGGGCCTTTGTCCTGAGCTACATTCCCAGCCTTTTTTAAAAAAAAATTGTTTTGTTTTTGTTTTTTTGAGACAGTGTCTCACTATGTAATTCAGGCTGGCCTTGAACTCACTATGTAGGTCAGGCTGGCCTGAACCCACACCTGGCAAATTCTTGCTACTCTGTTTGGAACTCAAATATTTTCCAGTGATACATGAGCTCCAAATATTGTTCAATTATCAGTAATTTGGTATTTGTTCTTTCTCAGGCTAGAAGTCTTACCATAAGCATGCAACAGGAGTGATATTCAAAGACTCAAGCAATCCTCATAAAGATTTCTGTAGTTTTATGTGTGTAGTGCTGAGGATCAGACCCTGAGCCTTGCATGTACTAAGTACTAAGCACATGCTGTACCAGAGTTACACTCCCAGCCAGGAGTTCCTGGTAACTGTAGCTGCTGCCTCTGCCTTACACTGCACCATAATCTCAGGCACCACAGTCTCTGCTCTTTCCCCTCAGCTCAATGAAATTGTTTTATTGTGCTTGATTCTTCCACCCTAGGCCAGGACTATGGTTTGAATAGTTCCTTTCCAAACTCAGGTGTTGCCAATATGTCAATATTACGAAGCAAGGCCAATAATTTGTGATTAGGTCACAAGGGCTTTGTTCTCATTACTAAGACAGATATCCTTATAAAAGAGGCTTCACACAGCAGCTGGATGGCATGCTGGCCTGCTATTCTGCCTCAGGCTAAGGTTCCTTCATCTTGGACCTCTGGCCTCCAGAACTGTGAGAAATAAGTTTCTGTCCTTTATACCTTACCTAGACTTAAGTATTCTGTTACAGCAGCACAAAATGGACTATGACAATCAGGGTCTAGTAATAGCTGTATCTTCAGGAAGAAAACCAGGTAAGCTGTACTGATCATTCCTTGCCATTCTTTACGTATCAGACCCCTTGTTGCCTTGGCCTAAGGTCTAGAGAGAGTTTTTTCAAATTTCCTCCCCAGTTTTCATTTAGCTGGCAGGCTAGTCAGATACCTGTTATTTCCATCATGTACCAAAATACAAATTCCTGCATATTTCCTAGTCTTGTTTTTTTTTTCTTTGTGGTGCTTGGTATTGCACCCAGGGCCTAATGCATGCTAGGCAAGCCTTCAACCACTGAGCTACATCCCCAGTACCCTTTTTTCTGCACTGAGAGGGGGGAGATGACTGTTTGTTTGGTACTGGGGATTGAACCCAGGGCCTTGACACTGAGCTATAGCCCCAGCTCTTTTTTTTTATTTCTTAATATGAACTTTAAACACTCCTGCCTCAGCCTCCCAAAGTGCTGGAATTAGAGGTGACCAAACTCAGCTCCCAGCCCATTTTTTGTATTGTTTTGTTTTTTGAGATAGGGTGCTCACACTCCTGAGTAGCTAGAATTACAGGTGTATGCCACCACACCCTACTCTACTGTATGTTCTTCACTTAAAATGACATGCAAATATTCCACTGTACAGATTGTTCAATGTTATTTTACATTTCCCTATTGCTGGACCTCTATTTAGTGTTATCAGCTATTATAAATAATGTTTGAATGGAATATTCATGTAAAAACAAGCTTTTGCATATAATTAAAAAACAATTTTTTTGCAGTGCTGGGAATCAAACCCAGAATCTCAGGCATGCTTGCTAGGCAAGTCCAGTACCACTAAGCTATATCCCTGGCCCTCACTATTTTGTTTTGTTTTGTTCCCCCAGGACTGGGGATTGAACACAGGGTTTTGGGCATGCTAGGCAAGCACTCTACCACTGAGCTACACCCCTAGCCCATCACTATTGGCTCTGAATCTTTAAATTTTATGAGTTTAGGTCAGGCACGGTGGCACACACTTGTAATTCCAGCACTCAGGAAGCTGAGACAGGAGGATCACTGTGAGTTTGAAGCCAGCCTAGGCTATATAGTGAGTCGTAAGGACAGCCTAAACTGCCTTGTGAGACTCTGTCTCAAATAAATAAATAAATAAAACTAACTAACTAAATTCTATGAGTTTAAACCAGATGTGGTGGCACATATCTATAATCCCAGTATTTAGAAGGCTGAGGTTGGGCTGGGGATTTAGCTCAGTGGTTTCGCCACCTGCCTCATAAGCACAAGGTCCCAAGTTTGATCCCCAGTACCAAAAACACAAAAAAATAGAAGGCTGAGGCAAGATGGTGACCTACATAACAAGTTCAAGGCAAGACTGTATTATGTAGCAGTCCTTGTCTCACAAATAAGCCAACTAAATAATTAAATAAATTTTTAAAATTCCATGTTAGAACCGTTATCTCACTACTGTCATTCCACATTGCCAAACTTATTCTAAAAGAATACTTAGTTTATAACCTATAATTCTCTTATATCTTTAGAAGTCAGTATCTAAAAATTATTCCAAAGCACAAATAAGAAATGGCTTTCCTGTGAAAAGAGAATTTCCTTTGAAAAAGAAAAACCATAATTCTTTTTTTGCTACATACGATTCTTGCTGCAGACATGTTGCATCGCCCAAACTGCCCACAGCTGGACTCCCGGTGTTGTGAAACAGCCAAGTAATGGGAAAAATGGATTAAAGGACCTAAGGTACAAAATAAAAGAGTCAAAGTTACATTCGATATGTAGCATCTTTTTTTGTTGTTTGTTTGAGGTAGGGTCTTGGCTACTAGTTTAGGCTGGCCTTGAACTCACTGTGTAGCTCAGGCTGGCCTTCCACCCACAGCAATCCTCCTGCCTCAGCCTCTCTAGTGCTGGAATTAGAGGTATATGGCATCACGCCTGGCTTGTAGCATTTTTTTTGGTACCGGGGATCAAACTCTGGTCCTTGCGCTTGCGCAGCAGGCGGTGAAACCACTGAGCTAAATCCCTGGCCCTTGTAGCATTATTTTTAAAGCAGCAATTACTAAACATTTCATTTTAGAAATGTCATCATATAAATGAACTACAGAACATCTTGTCTTAGACATTTCTGAAAAGACTGAATTCCAACATGTTTTGGTATATAGAAAGTAAAAGGGGGGCTGGGGATTTAGCTCAGTGGTTTGACTGCCTGCCTTGCAAGCGCAAGGACCCAAGTTCGATCCCTGGTACCAAAAAAGAAAGTAAAAGGGATTAGAACTCAGTACTAAAAGAGAAACAAAGCATCTTTCAAAAGCACTTTTTTGGTCTTAAAGATACACATTTTGCAGACTAACAAACCTTGATTTAGAAACTAAGACACAGAGAAGTTAGGTGATACCGTTAAGAAGTAGAACAACATGAAGGTCTAGAACTAGCTTTTCTGCATCTACTGGTCTGAACAAAAAGGGGTACCACATAAATTGGACAAATAAAAAATGTTGGCAGAACCAGCATTTATAAAGCAGACAATAAAAATAAGTTGGAATAAAATTAATTAAGCAGCAACCTGGAATACTTTGGGTAATTAGTAACTTTGCTATGAAATTACCCAATTGTCATAAAGAGGGTTGGGCAGCCAGTATGCACTTTGATAAATTATTCTGCAAACTTTTTCCCTTATGGATGTGGTGTTACTTCTAGTTCTTGCAATACTGCATGTTCTTTTAGATTTCCATGTATTCATACATTGCTTTCTCTTCCTAAAATCTCTTGACCTTAATTTTTCAAAAACTAGCCAGGGGTGGTAGCACATGGCTGTAATCCCAGAACTTGGGGGGCTGAGGCAGGAGGATCACTGTGTGTTCAAGGCCAGCTTGGACTACATAGTGAGACCCTGTCTCAAAACACAAAACAAAACAAAAACTCAGTTCACAAATGAGTTCTTTGAAAGCTTTTTTTTTTTTTTTTTTTTGGTACCAGGGATCGAACTCAGATCCTTGTGCTTTCGAGGCAGGTGGCAGAACCACTGAGCTAAACCCCCGGCCCTCTTTGAAAGCTTTTTAACTTAATATTTTTCAGTGTACATATAAGGGCTTTCATGTTTAATTTTACATACATCTAGTGTAGTGGTCTCTCTTACCAGACTATAAGATTCTTTTTTGAGGGGCCAGGGATTTAGCTCAGTGGTTCCGGTGCCTGCCTCGCAAGTGCAAGGTCACAAGTTCAATCCAGGCACCAAAAAAAAAAAAGATTCTTTCTTTTGTCTTTTTGGTACCAGAGATCACTTGTGAGGCAGGAAGCAGAACCACTGAGCTAAATCCCTGGACTCTATTTTTATTTTTTCAGACAGGGTCTCATTATGTAGCCGCAGTGATCCTCCTGCCTCAGCCTCTTAAATGCCTGGGACCACAGGTGTGTGTCACCACACCTGCCCTTAGACTATAAGATTCTTGTGTGCACCTTAATTGTCTTGGACATCTTTGAATTTCTTTTTATTTTTTCATGTTTGAATTTCAAGAGCACAGAACAAATCTTTGGGAGCAATATTCAGTAAGTATTCAATAAAGGAAGGAATGGTATGAATTATAGGTGTCAGAAAAAATCAAAATACTTTGCTTCTTTTATTTTATTTTAAGATACGCAGGATTGACCCTAGACTCTCATGCCTGGGGCAAGCCCTCTACCACTGGGCTACTTGGCAGCCCTTTTTATTTTTCACTTTGAGATAGGGTCTCACTGAGTTACCCAGGCTGAGATCTTCCTGCCTCAGCCTGCCAAGTAGCTAGGATTACAGGCCTGTACTATCACACCCAGCTACATTGCTTCTTTTTTTTGGTACCAGGGATCGAACTTAGGACCATGTGCTTGTGAGGCAGCCGCAGTGCCACTGAGCTAAATCCCCAGCCCTACATTGCTTCTTTTAAAGTTAGTATTGAGGGAGATGAGTAACATCTAATGAGAATGAGCCTGAGATAAGAAAAAGACTAGGTTACTGGTTATTATTAATTATTGTAACAATTACCTGTATGCTACCATCTCACACTCCGGAGTTGGCCATTTCAAAATAGCTGAATGCTAGAAGACATAAGAAAGATACAAAGAAAGGATTACAAGACTTACTAAGCATTACAGTATTACATCTTAAGGCTCTGATAGTTTAACCATTATGAATGTGGTTTTTATTCTTCCAGAAAACACCAAATGATCCTACCAAATCATCGAGAAGAGAATTCCTCTGGCTACGGCTCAATGTCCAAGCTTGTTCACCTCTGGATATTAAATGGGCAATAATGCCAGCTGCAAAGTAACTCACTTCCACTTCAACACTGTGTAGGAGACTACTGATGTGGTCTATAAAATCCTTCCACATTAATTCAGAATGCAATTCTTGTACTTCAGCTATATTGTTCTGGGGGAAAAAAACATAAAAATTCAAGTAATATAAAAATAAATCAAAAAGTTAAAGTAATATGTATAGTAAATGGCTAAAGGAACTGTTTACAGATACTGAGCAATCAACTAGCAATGCCAGAAGGGGATCATTGAAAGTATTCAAATGAGGGCAGTTTTCAGATTGCAATGAAAACCAATGAGAATCTAGTAGTTTGGTTGAGAAGGTAGAGATCATAGTACTGGAAAAAGAAGGGAGAGATACACAGACAGATGGACAGAGACAGATACACACACCAATATTACTGTATAAGAGGGCACCCTAGCCGGGGATTTAGCTCAGTAGCATCACGCCTGCCTTGAAGGTATAAGGTCCTGAGTTCGATCCCCGGCACCAAAAAAAAAAGAGGTCCCCTTAAATATTTGGTTGAGTAATGAAAGGGGGTGAAACTCTTTGAGGTTAGGAAAAGAGCCACCAGAAAGCACACAAAGGAATCTGAAAGTCACAAAGACCTAGGAACAGTTCACATTCCCACCAGCAAGAGTGAAAAGAACAAATAATAAGGTATTTAATAGAGGTGGGGCTAAATTATATTAGCCCTAGGGCCGAAACTAATCGGAAGCCACTTAATAAAACAACTAAACAAGCTTTAAAAAGAAGAAACTTGATGTCCACATAATTTAACTATATGCCAGAATAAAGCATAAGACTCTTTAGAGAAAAACAATAAAATCGAGCAATCCCCAATGTAAATTTCATAATGACTAACATCCAATCAAAAATTATCAGGCATACAAAGGAGTAGGAAAATATGATTCATAACCAGGAGAAAAATCAATTTATAGAAACAGATGTAGAAATTACAGAAATAATGAAATTAGCAAATATTTAAAACAGATATTTTAAATATGACTCAAGATGAAACAAAACATAAACATGAGGAGAAAAAGTAAGGATATAAAAAAGACCTAAGCCAAGTATGATGGCGCACACCTACAATACCAGCACTTGAGGGGCTGAAACAGGAGGAGCTCAAGTTTGAGGCCAGTCTGCACTACATAGACCTTATCTAAAAACAAACAAAAAAATAAAATCCTGAAATGTAATTTCTAGAGAGGGAAAAAAAATCCATTACTTGAATTGCAGAATATATAGGATGGTGTTAATAGATGAGATAAGGGCCAGGGGATTTAGCTCAGTGGTTCTGCTGCCTGCCTTGTAAGCGCAAGGACGTGAGTTCGATTCCCAATACCAAAAAAAAAAAAAAATAGATGAGATGATGCAGAAAAAAAAATCATCAGTGAACTAAAAAGAAAACAGCCAAACAGTTTGTAATAGCTAAAGCTTGGAAACAGCCCAAGGGCCCATCAACTGGAAAATGGATAAAGAAGATGTGGTTTTTTTAATAAAATGGAGTACTACTCAGCCATAAAGAATAAGCAACTAGAGTCACTTATAGCTAAATGGATGTATAGAGGCCATACTCTTAAGTGAAATAAACAGGATACACATGTGTAAGTACCGAATTATTTCTTTATTGTGAGAAACAAAGTGTAAATAAGGATTAAAAGGATTAATAACTAATAATTGATACTTTGAAATAGGAAAAGGTCCAAAGGGGTAGGGGTGGTGAGAGGAGATGGGGAAAGGAAAAAATGGAAAGGAAAAATTATGAGAAAAGAAAAAAAAAATGGAAACGAAGTCTACATAAATAGGGAAGGGTGGAGGGGTCAAGGGTGCACAGGTAATGGGGAAAAAATAAGAACCAAGATGCATCATGTATAGGTACAAGCCCCCAATGATAAATGTAAATGTACTGTATATCTAAAATGTACCAATAAAAGAATTTAAGCAAAAAAAAAAATAAATAAAAATAAATAAATAAATTGTACCTTTAAAAAAAAAAAAGAAAAGGAAAACAGCCAAACCAAACTACAAAAGAAAAAAAGACTGGGAAAAAGGTTAATAAAGGACTTTTGTGATGTGAAGTACATTATCAAGCAGTTTAACATATTTATATAATTGGAGTTCTAGAAAGAATGCAGTAAGAAAGGGTATGGGAAAAGATACCTGAAGAAATAATGTAAAAAAATTTTCCAATTTGATGAAAATTACAAACCCAAAGATTCAAAAGAAAAAAATATTCACTTAAGACTTCAATAGACACTCAAAAATCTATTTAAAAATGAAAGAAAAAAGACAGGCATGGTGGCACAGGCTTGCAATCTCAGCACTTGGGAGGCTGAGGCAGGAGGATTGCCTCAAATTTGAGACCAGCTTGGGCTAAACAGTGAGTTCAAGGCCAGCCTGAACTGTATAATGAGACCCTGTCTCAAAAGAAAAGAAAAGAAAAGAAAAGAAAAGAAAAGAAAAGGCTTTTCCATACAAACAAAATCTGAGGAAATTCATGGCCAGCATACCTTCAGAATAAGAAATGTAAAAAGAGGCTGGGGATATACCTCAGGGATACAGTGGTTGCCTGGCATGCACAAAGCTCTACCCGTTGAATCCCCCCATACAGATAGAGATAGAGATAAAGATAAAGATAGAGAAAGAGATAGAGAGAAAGAGAGAAATATAAAAGATACAACTGGGTGTGGTGGGACACACCTGTAATCCCAGCACTTGGGAGGCTGAGGCAGGAGGATTACCATGAGTTCAAGGCCAGCCTGTCCTACATAGTGGGACTTTATCTCAAAAACCAAAAACTAAAATAACAAAACAAAATATATATATATGAATTGAAAGATGAATCTCTCATTTTTATGTCTCTTCAGTGGTTAATGGAAGACTGATGAGGACTCTTGCTTCTGCCCCAGCTGAAATAAAAGCAACCAGAATCACACTTGTTCCCAAACTACTAAAAACAAAACAAACATGAAACAACAGTTTTCAAAACAGTAGACACTATGCAGTAAAGGATTGAGACTTGCTAGGCTGTGGATGAGGGATAAAGCCCTGAAGCAGCGCTCTGTGGACTTGTGGAATAGAGGAAATGGAGCTGAGAGTTCACTGATACTAAGGCAATTTACAGGATGAATACCAGGAAGAAGAGAGATGCACCAAGAGAGAGTGCAGAAGTCTACAGAGGGACCCTCTCTCTATTCAAAAGTGAGGGGGAAGATTAGGGCATGGCCAGCCTGCTGGGCAAATGGGCATGACCTGTCAAGCACAGAAATCCAGAACACGTTTGCAGAAAAACAGCTCCCAAGTTTTGTACCTGGGACAAACCAGAAAATACTATCTTCAGTTATTCTGGTGAAATATCAAGCAGATTTTTGATAGGTCGGCCTAGATCAAACATCAGCCTGAGGATACAAAAGATGGCTGCCATTAACCGGCTGCCATTAACCTCACTGCCCGGTAAACTCTTCAGTGGTCTGCTCTCACCCTGAAAAGCATACTTCTTTACCCACTTTAACTGGCCAAGACCCATTCTGCAGAGTATACTTCTTTTCCTAACTTTAATAAATGTAAAACCTCTAATTCTTGCACATATCTTGTCCAATTCTTTGTTCAGAACAACAAGAACCTCAAAAGACTCTCTAGGAGCCTATGGCAACCCAGGACCCAGGTAAACGAAGAGTACTGAGCAATCTATGAGCTTGAAAAAACTAGAGGGCAGGAAAAGAAATATCAGAAAAGGATTCTGGGGCCCGGGGATTTAGCTCGGTGGTTCTGCCACCTGCCTTGCAAGTGCAAGGACCCGAGTTCGATCCCCGGTACCAAAAAAAAAAGGATTATGGACAAGGAAGGGACAAGAAAAAAAATGGAAACAAAGCTTTTGTATATAGGGGGGGATAGGAAAAATAAAATAAAATTTATTTTAAAAAAAGAAAAAAAAAGGATTAGGGAGCTGGGCCTGGTGTGTCACACCTTAGTCTCAGCTGAGATAAGAGGATCATTTGAGGCCAGGAGTGTAGTAAGACACATTGGGCAACATAGAGCCTGTCTCAAAAAAGAAAAAAAAAAGGTCATGTTTTAATAGTTTCAATAGAGAAAGTAATTAGCCCTAGCTTAATCATTATCTTGGAACCTAGTAAACCATAACAGCAAAACCCAAAAATAAGCCAGCCATGGTAGTACATGCCTGTAATCCCAGCACTCGGGAGGCTGAGCCAGGAGGATTGCAGCAAGTTGGAGGTCAGCCTGGGGTACACAATGAGTTCAAGGCCAGCCTGAATTGCATAGAGAGACCCTGGTCTCAACAAACCAAAAATAAATTTAAAAATTTAAAAAAATAAAAAGAAATAACCCAAAATAGTCCAACTTTCAAAAAGTAAATTAACTGTACCCCAGGACAAAGTTTAATAATATTTATAGGAAAGTAAAAATATGTAGCAAGTAAGAAGGTAAAATTCACAATGACTAGCACCCAATCAAAAACTAACAAGTAAGCCGGGGATTTAGCTCAGTGGTTTTGCCTCCTGCTGCACAAGTGCAAGGATCCAAGTTCGATCCCCAGTACCAAAAAAACCCAAAAAAAACCCTAACAAGTAAACTGGGCATAGTGCACGCCTATAGTCCCAGCTACTAGGGTTAGCACAGGAATTTGACGTCAGCCTGGGCAACACAGCAAGGGTGTGTCTTAAAAACAAAACAACGTTCATTCAGAATGAGGGAAAATATTTGTAAATCATATATCTGATAAAGGAATGATTTTCAGAATACACAGAGAACTCTTAAAACTTAAAAACAAGAAAAGAGAAAGATAGCCAGGGATTTAGCTCAGTGGCACAGCACCTGCCTCTTAAGCACGAGGTCATGAGTTTGATCCCGGTACCAAAAAAACCAAAAAACAAGGAACAAAAAGTAAAAAAAAAAAAAAAGATAAAGGAGTTGAACAGATATTTCTCCAGAGAAGATCAATGAATGGCCAATAAACACATAAGAAGATCCTCAACCTCATTAATTCTTTGTCACAAAAAAGACAAATACTGTACGATTCTGCTAACAAGGTAGTTAGAGTTGTCAAAAATCACAGAGATAGAAAAAAAAAAATCACAAAGATAGAAAATAGAACTGTGGCTGCCAGAGCCTGAGAGAGTGTGAAGTGGGTGGTACTGTTGTTTCATGGACAGAGTTTCAGTTTTACAGGAGGAAGAATAATGGAGATAAATAGTGGTGAACGGTGGAAAACATGAATGTATTTAATATCACTAAAACAAAGAATCCAGAACTCGCTACTAAAAAGCGGAGGTTATTAAGCTGGATAGAGAAGTAAGATGCAAAGTATACTTTGTCTATAAGAAATACACTTTTTTTGAGGTGTAGGGGATCAAACTCAAGGCATCATGTATGCTAAGCAAGTACTAAACCCTTAGCCCAGGTTATAGTAATATTAATTACCCCATAAGATGAAAATGATGCAAAGTTGGATACAGTCATAAACTTTTTTTTCTAGATCTTAATTGGCTTTATTTGTGATTCTAGAATCAAATAGTAATCTGGACCCAAAATGTTTCCAAATGTTCTCCATAATCTTAAACTTCTAAAATACATTCTGCACTGTTTCATTAATTATAATAAACATGCATTCTTTTTGAAATTTTTTAAAAAACACTTTTTTGGGAGGTGCTGAGGATTGAACCCAGGATTTGTGCACATGCTAAGCACATGCTCTACTGCTTAGCTATGCTTCCAACCCCAAAAAAGCATTTTCAAAGCTCCGTTCTTCAAATAAATTTCCTCCCCCTCCTGCTCTACCTCCCCCTTTTTATTTATGTTTTTTGAGACAGGGTCTCACTGTGTAGTCTAGGCCAGCCTTGAACTTACCACATAGCCCAGGCTGGACTTAAACTCACAAATCTCTTGCCTCAGCCTCCTAAAGAGTAGAAATTACAGGCATGCAGCACTGTACCCCCCCTCCCCTTCTTCTTGATATGACTTAAGCCACCTTCTGTATACAATAATCTTTTTGGGGGGGTACTGGGGATTGAACTTAGGACCTTGCGCTTGAGGCAGGAGCGATGCACTGAGCTAAATCTCTGGCCCTGTATATAATAATCTTATGAACCCTGAATAGAACAATCAAATACTGGCCAGCACAAATACTGCAGCACACACCTGCAATCTCAGGTACTTGGGAGTCTGAGGCAGGAGGGTCACAAGTAGCCTGGGCAATTCAGTAAGGCCTTGTGTCAAAAAATAAATAAATAAAAAGGTTAGGGATGTAGCTTAGTGGTAGAGTGCTTACCCAGTATGCATAAAGTTTCCAGGTTTGATTCCCAGTAGTCCTAAACAATTTATTAGATCAAATCCTGTCATTTATTTAATAATTCCTCTATTACCAGACATTTATATTTTCCTCTTCCTATTTTATATTACTAAAGCAACTATAAATAGAATCTCCTTAAATTCCAGCCCTCAGCTTTCCCCAAAATTCATTTCCTCACTACTCAATATAGCTCATACTCTCACAGGTGGAAATAAACACTAATTTATATTTTTACTCACTAATCTATGCCTCCTATGATCTAATTCCTTGAAAGCCCAGGCCTGGTGTAAAACACTTTTACTACATAGGCACTTTGCCTGTGGCAATGATTTAAGCTGATAAACTATTCGATCCTTTGTCTTTGCCCCCAAATCCTACAGAGCTCAGCTTAACCTATTTTTGTTAAACATTCCTTTAAGTAGTAATTATTACCTACCAAACACAGCATCCAAGAATACTTGTAGGTTAACGACATTTCTGATGAAAATGTTTTTAAAAATATGCTCAGTGTGAAATACAATGTATATTTGTATTTTTCCTTTTAAAGCGTCAAAAATCTTGATATATAGTTTTAGTGTATATGTGTGTGTGTTCTAAATAGACAGGGTCTCATTCTACTGCCCAGGCTGATCTTGATCTCCCAGGCTGAAGTTATCCTCCAACCTCAGACTCCCGAGCAGGTGGGACTTTAGGTATCTGCCACCAAGCCAAGCCTTTATTGCTGTTTGGTGTTTTGTTTTGTTTTATTTGACAGTATCTTGCTAAGTTGCTCAGGCTGGCCTTGAACTTGCAATCCTCCTGTGTGGACTTCCCAGTAGCTGGGATTACTGACGAACTTCTTATTGCCTGTTTATTTTCTAATTTAATAATGATATTGTGTTACTTTCCAGTGTCATTAAGTGTTCATAAATACAGAACCAATTTTTATTGTATTCTTTCAGACAGAAAATAATTACAGCTTGCAATTTAACAGGAAATGATCGTATCTTACCAAAAGTCCTAGAACTTTCTGTTGAATGGATGACTCAGTTGGGAAAGACTGTAAAAAAGAAAGAGAAATCTATAACTACCCCAAAAAGGCACATATAATAAGGAAAGGCTTAAATAAGTAAATCAATAAATATCAAAACTGTAGATTGAGGGCCAGGGATTTAGTTCAGTGGTTTCACTGCCTGCCTTGCAAGTGCAAGGAGCCAAGATCGATCCCCGGTACCAAAAAAACACACACACACAAAAAACTGTAGATCGAAGTGCCCATTCTAACCTCTAGAACCCTCATGAAGAGTTCTAAACCTTGGTTTTCAATAAAGTGTCTGCAAGTGGTTGGGGATTCATCTGTGAGGTTCCAAAGTGCACTCAATGTAAACTTCAACGTAGTATCCACAGAATTTTGATTGGTTTTCTGCTTCACTATTTGAAGAAGTTGCTAAAAGGAGGAAAACAGAATAAAATTTTCGCTGTTGAATTGTTACTATGACTTGTGATTATTATTATTTTTTTAATTACTTAAATTCTTTTATTGGTACATTTTAGGTATACAACACATTTACATTTCTCA